ATAATCGGATTACTCCTTCCTTTAAAAGATTAATAGGACCTGAGCCGACCCCCCCCTTGTTTGAGAGCAGCCATCTGGAAGCACGGCCCCGTGCCCTGACGGAGCCGCAGAGCCCATCTGCTGCCCCGGCACGGAGCGGGGGGACGTGGGAGGTTCATAGAGGAGCACGGGGCGGCGGGGGGGGATGGAGCTGCGCTCAGTGCGGACCCGCTGTGCTCTAAACAAAACGCTTACAATCCAGCTGCAGCTGCAACACGGAAAGCAGCAGGGATGCCGCTGGAGCAGGAACAACGCCAGCGCTTCGGGCAGCACCAAACGGGCGCCTCTCCGGCTCTGGCCGCTGCTCACAGCCTCCCTGAGCAACACACGACCGCTGCACTTTGCGTTCCTTCACACGTCTCTGCCCGGCCCTTCCCGCAGCCCTGAGCGCCCTCCCCGCTCCAGGCACCGGCCCAGGGCCAGGCAATGCCCGCTTCAGAGCGAGTGAGAGCTCCTGCCTTCACCTGGCACAGCCACGGCCCCCCACAGCACGGGCTGCCCCACGGCTGGAGCCCCACAGTGCTGGCACCACGCTGGTGCCGCAGCACCCGTCAGACCCGCTCCCAAGGAGCCACGGCGAGGCTCCAGGACAGCAGCAAAAGCAAGGCAAAGGGAGCAAGGAGAGGGGATGAGGCTCGGGGAACGGGGACCATCTGGCACAGGAAGGCAGCAAGCAGCAGCCTGTAATGCGATTAAGTCTATATTTAACATGCACAGAGCTCCCTCAATCTCATGAATGAGGATTTACCTGCTAATGATGCTGGTTACTCGCGGCCGTGCCAAAGCAGGCCTGGACTCTCACATAACTGGGCAACACCAAGAGCAGCAGAGGAAGGGGGAGCGGAGCGTGGCACAGCCTGAGCCCTGCCTGCGCCCTCCCTCCTCCGCCCTGCGCCCGCAGGAAGGGCTCTGCACAGCCCTCAGCACATTGCTGCTGCCTCTGAGCAGCACCGAGCTGCGAGCAGATGGCAGCACGACCCGCAGATGGGGGCTGCGAGGTAAAGGAACAAAGCAGCCACACGGAGCAGTGGGTCGTCTTCCCAACGACGGAGGCACCAGCGTGGCAAGAACTGAGACTGCAGGCACAGGGAATGCACACATGGCATTCCTGCCATGCCTTCCTGCCCCAGACCTGAGGGAAAGCAGCTGGAAGCACAAAAGGAGCAGCCGACGTCACCGCCGGGCAGAGGACCGCGCAGGTACGGCTCCACTGCTTGCAGCGGGCTGTGCCCAGCCCTGAGCAACTGGCTCTTCCCTCCTTCCATGGCAAACAAACCTACCCCTAAGCAGCCTGTAGGGAACTACCACCCCTCCTTGTAGGAAATGACCCGTCCCTCCTTCACCCCATGCAGCCACAGCCGAGCCTGGCGGTACTGCGGCTGTCGGGCGCTGCACACAGGTGGGCTGCAGTCCTTACCTTGGGGGAGGCACAGCCCAGCAGGGCAGCCCCACACGTGGCAGTGACCCATCCCAGCTCACCGCAGCACGGCTCCCGGCCCAGCTCTCACCTTTTGCTACGTCCCAACAGCTCTCGCCCCACCGGAGCGCAGCTACGCATCGCCGCCGCTCTGCAGCGCGGCATTGCCTCGCAGTGCCCACAGCAGCGCTGTGCAGGCCCAGGAAGGCACGCAGCAGCCCTGTGGCTGCACGCCTGGGCACCACGCTGACCTCCCCTGCGTGGGGAGAGGCGCTGGGCTGGGGGGGGGCATGCAATGAGCAGACATGCAGCCGGAGATGGAGTGGGAGGGCTGGGATGCACCCGAGGCGATGCATGCAGCTGGGATGGAACACACAGACTGTCAAAAACGCACCACCTTTTTGGGTTTGGCTCCACGCTGCATGAGGAGGAAATAAAAGGTTGAGAGTTAGAGCTCAGGGTATTGGATGGCGGCAGGGAGAACTGCTCCCTGTTCAGCCACCGCCACCATCAGAGCTGGGTGTGCATTCGCCAGGCTGCAAGGCCACGTACAACCAGCAAGAGAAATGCATTCAGACCGATCTAAACCAACGTGTGGAGCCTTAACAGAGGAAAGCAGGCAATGGAGCGTGCTTTCGACCCCTCAGCGTACGCCGGTGCCACTGACCTGGCTTCCAAACTGGGCTGACGCAGCAGTTTGGGCTCAGGCCGCGCTGGAAGGAAGGCACAGCCACAGCCTCCAGCACTGCACCAGCACAGCTGGGGGTCCCAGCTCCGTTCCCAGCCCACACAGGGCCCTGGCACAGCCCCCACGCTGCCCGTGCTCCCACCCTCTGGACCCCACAGACTCAGAGCTGCAGGGATCAACGCTCTTACTGCAGCAGGGAGCAGTGGGTTGAAGCAGCCCTAAGCTCTGCATTCAGGAACTCCCAGCCTGGTGGCTCTTCCAGCAACCCTCTGCTCCCCAGCAGAGCCCACATCCTGCGCTGCGATGCCCCTTCCACCAGCAGGAAGCCCCCCCTGCTCCATGCACTGCATCCTCACTGTGGGAGAGCAATCCTGCACAGGGGGCCCTGAGTCCCGGGGCCGCAGAGCTGCTGTGCTGCACCCACCTCTAGCATCAGTCTCTTAGGAAATGGGGCTCTGTCACCACAGCTGAAGAAGTGCTGGGACAACGCTCTGACAGCAGTGCTGCTGGAGCCAGGAGTCGCAGCTGATGGTTCCTATGGGCCCCATCCCATGGGATGCACAAACTCAGGCCGCCCCAGGAGCCACGGCACTGAGCTCAGGGTGTAGGGAGGCGGTGGGAGCAGGGCTGTGTGCCACCAGGCAGGGCAGCGTGGGGGTGCAGATGTCAGCGTGCTGTGCACTGTGAGCCCCAGGCTGGGCGCTGCAGGGTTGGGAACGCGGCCCCGAGGCACCGGGAACCAGAGCTGCTGTCAGGGATGTGGGTGTGAAGGGCCATTGGGGCAGAGAGGCTGCCGTCAGGGGGTGCAACACCAACAGCATCCCCAGAGCAGCAGCATCAAGCGGCTCCAGCAGGAGCAGTGTGGCAGCACCAACCCTAATTCAGCATCAGAGCCTCAGGAAGGTAAGGGAGCCGTCAGGGGGCAGCGGCCACGGCCCCACAGCGCAGAGCCCCGGAGCCACATCCTCCCGTTCCTCCAGCTGTGTGTTCAGTGCCAGAAACCGAGATGCCTCACATCACAGGTGGGGAACACGGGGGAACGAGGGGCCACCAGCACAGAGGCTGCAGCCAACAGGCAGATGCTGACACGGCAGCAGGAGGCCAAGCGGCGCTCGGCACCCTGTGAAATGAAATGCCCTCAATGGAAGGCAGGCAGGGGTTCCCCCACCCCACGCTCCTGGAACCCATCGGGCTCAGAGCAGTGAGCATCAAGATGGGGACCCACTCTGATTCCTGCTGCCCTGAGATGCGGCACCCACGGATGCAACCCAGCCACAACGCCTCAAGCGCTGGGACTCCTGACCAGAAGCACATGCAGGTTTCTCCGTGAGCCCCACGCGCACAGCAGTGAGCTGCTTTCAGCTCCTCCAAGGCCACTCTGCTCCTGCAGGGGTGGCTGTTTGTTCTCCCTATCTTTAAGGAGCACAGGCACAAAGCACACGGGCTGTGCGTGCAGCAGTGCTTGCTGAGCTTGGACCAGTGAGAGCAGCGCAGACAACAGCGCTGGGAGTCTGCTTCTCTGCACCTGACTGGTTCCTTGCCATTAACCAAAACTCTTTTCTCAGGGGTTTGAGAAGCACACTTTGCCACTGGCATTCTCACTACGGTGAGTGCGGCTCGGTGCTGCAAAAGGCCAAAAAGAGAGAGGCAGGAGGAAGGCTGCCTTTCCAGCAGGTTTTGTGGGGGTGCGTCTGCCTGCTCCTCCTGGAGCTCTCACAGAGGTGACAGATGGTCATGAAAGCAAACCCAGATGAATGGAACGTGCAGATCTGCCTCTCCACCGCCCCGTGAGGCAGCGGCTCACAGCGTGGGGTCAGTCAGCACTCACCAGTTTGCTGCCTTTGGCGGCGTCCAGGGAATCTGCAAAGGGAAAGAGAAACAAAACTGTCAGCGTTGGCCCAGAGGAGCCGGTTTCTGTACACAGAAAGGACCCACCACGTGTTTGTGGCAGGCTGAAGCAGAGAGCGAGGAGCTGTGGATAAATGAAGCAGGAAACGGGGCTGCGAAAGGTGTGGAGGCAGAGGGGCTCCCAGGAGAGCTGCAGGCAGCGCCTGGGGGAAAAGCCACAGTGCCAACACAGCTCAGGGAGCGCCGGGCCCTGCGACTTCTGGGCTGCGGGATGAACCACAGCACAGCTCTGCCCCAGGACAGCACAGCCAGAGCCACACACACTGAGCAGAGCCAGCTCCCACCTGCCAGGGAGCAAATCCACAGCGCAGAAGAGCTGTGACGACGTCTGCTGCCCAACGCCCCCCCTCCAGGTGCTGACAGGACAGGATGCCAGCTGGAACGGAGCTCTGCAGCCCCCAGGAGGCCACATCCCTGCGCTCAGCATTGCTGCTCTCTGCACCAGCGCTGTGTGCAGCTCGTGCTGCCGTGTGAGCATGGAGAGGCTGCTGGGATGCTGCCTGCAGGTGCCTGCATTGGGCTGCCCAGTCCCAGCCCTGCTGCACTGCAGCTGCTCGGCGGGCACAGAGCTGCATGCAGGGCCAGGCAACCTGCACAGGTACTGCAGAGCTGCAGCAACGGCGCTGCCATTTCCAAGGCAACTCCTGCAAGCACCAGCTCCTCCTGCATGGCTCCTCCTGCATGGCTCCTCCTGCCTCCACCTCCTGCCTCCACCTCCTGCCTCCTCCTCCT